GTAGTTACTGTGACTGTCTTCCAGGCTGCCAATGTCCTGGAGATCTACATGAAACAAAATAATTAGAAGGATGACAGGTTACTTTCCTGTGGCGTGAAATAAGATTTCACCTGCGACCAAGGTTTCCACCTTCCTTTTCCTGCCACACTGAGATTTATGCAGGGGCCTCTGATCATTATCATATTATACTCTTCCATTCCACAGCAAACCTGGGCCTCTCATTGTATTTCTTCATCATAACCTTCTCTCCTGCCTTCAATACATCCTGTGATTCCTGACTTTACTTGTTCCTTTTCTGGTTTACAACCTCCCACCCTCCCTCACGTTGGATCTCAAATCCTTTAACTGTTCACACAATGTTGCCACATATCTTCTACCAATCACTCAGTGGTCCCAAATGCACACTTGCTGCTGTGGATCCCAACAGAGCCATAGATCCCTTCCAGTTATTAACTCAAACAATGATAGGCCAATTGTTCAGTTTGGGGTTGCTCTTAGTCACGTAGGGAAAACACCACAGACACACCATCTCCCTGTCTGTTCTATGGCCTTTGCTATTACACACCTTATGTTCAATTAATTCATTCTACCATACTTAAACTGAATGGTATGGGTTATGGAAGCTTGGCTTTATTCCCAGTAACAGATGTGCTGCTTCATTATTTCCCTATAAATTGAGACCCTCTATTTGACTGTATTTGGATGGGTATTCACTATCCTACTGTTACTTTTTCAGCCAGGACTTTTGCCACAGTCAAAGTAGAACAGTCCCATGTTTGAAATGTTTCAAGTCAACTTTCAGATGAAGTGGTTAATAATCACTGGACAATAAGTTTCCCTTCTGTTATTGGGTAGGTAACCCATAAAGTCTATCTGTACATTTTCCCATGGATCCTTTTCTCCAGGTTGGTTGGCTAATTTGACTTTAATGGCCTTTTCCACATTACTTTTCACAGATCTAGCACCTCTTACAATATTTGACTGCTTCTCTGCCCAAACCAGGATGTGGAGGTGCCGGTGTTGGACTGGGGTGGACAAGGTCAGAAATCACACAACACCAGCCATATAATCCAACAGGTTTATTTGAAAACACAAGCTTTCGGAGCCTCAGTCCTTCTTCAGGTGTTAGTGAGAGAGGTAGGATTAGACACAGAATTCATAAGTAAAAGGTCAAAGGTTCACACGACTGATGAGGATGTATTGAACAAACCTAAGATGCTGTTACATCTCTATAGAGTTAGAAGGTTTTAATTGATTAATGTGTATATGTAAATCACCAAATTCCTTTCAAGTCACGGTCTTGAGAGAACTAAAGGTTTTAATCAGCATACAGAAGAGATGATAGTTTAGGTCAAGCAATGCAAGGTAGGTGTGAGGCCTTGTTTAGAATCTGTTTGTGGTTTATCATAGAATCCTATGTATAATCCACCTAATTTACAGGTAACTTAACATGGCCAATCCACTTAACCTGCACAACTTTGGGCTGTAGGAGGAAACCAGAGCATCCAGCAGAAACAGGGAGAATGTGCAAACTCCACACAGACAGTCACCCAGGGTTGGAATTGAATCCAGGTCCCTCGTACTGTGAGATAGCAGTGCTAACCACTGAGCCACTGTCAGACTGGTCTGAAGTCAGACTGGTTTTATTTCTAAAGTGGAATTTATAAAATGCCACATTGACTGACTTTCTTTAAATTGTGTGCCTTTTGAACAAAATAAAATGTATCTACAAATACACATTCACCCATAGATTCTCTTGTGCGCGCATGCGTGTGTATGTGTGTGTATATGTGAGAGAGTGTGTGTGTGTATATGTATGTGAGAGAGTGTGTGTGTGTGTGTGTGTGTGTGTGTTTGTGTGTGTGTGTGTGAGACAGAGAGAGTGAGTGAGAGAGATAGTGTGGAATCCTCTCAAACACATACTAATTCAATGATCACAAGACTACTCAGGCCCCTAGGTATCAGAGTAGCCCACAAACTGACAACCAACCTGTGACAGCTACTGATGAACATAAAGGATCCCATGCTCAAAATTGCCAAAACTGGGGTAATATACAAAATACCATGCAAGGACTGTGAGAAACACTAAATAGGCCATGCCAGAAGAAAATTGACTTATAGAGACATGAACACCAACTAGCCACCAAGAGACACGATCAATTCTCACTGGTCTCACTACACACGGACAACAAGGGACACGAATTCGATTGGGACAACACATTGATAATCACACACCAGGGAATTCCTGGAGGACTGGTATTCCAACTGGAACTCCATCAACAAACACATTGAATTAGACCCTGTGTACAAACCACTGAGAAACAAAACCAGAAATAATACCAATCACCCCAGCAAACCGAGGCATATAAATAACAAATGGGACAGAATACCAATGCTGACTCTCTTTCTCTCTCTCTCACACACACAGACACTCACACAGATCCTCTCTCATACACAGACTGTGTCTCTCTCTCTCTCTCTCTCTCTCTCTCTCTCTCTCTCACACACACACACACACACTCACATCGATCCTCTCTCATACACACACTCTCTCTCCCTCACACACACACATACGTATATATACATACACACACTCTCTTTCTCTCCCTCTCTCTCTCTCTCTCTCACACACACACACACAGATCCTCTCTCATGTACACACTGTCTCTCTCGCGCACACTCACACACACATACACAGATACACACACACTCTCTCCCTCTCTTACACACACACAAACACACAGATCTTCTCTCATACACACGCTGTCTCTCTCTCACACACACGCGCTGTCTCTCTCTCACACACACACGCACATACACACTCACTCACTCTCCACACACACACACTCACTCTCTCTCCTTCATACACACACACACACACACACACACACACAGTCTCCCTCTCTCTCTCACACACGTGCATGCACATACAGGCACACACACTATCTTTCTCTCCTCCCTCTCACACACATGCACATACACTCACTCTCTCTCACTCTCTCTGTCACACACACACACACACACTCTCTCTCTCCCTCTTTCTCAAACACACAAACACACACAAGCACACATACTCTCTCTCTCTCTCACACACACACACACACACACTCTCACTCTCGGTCTCCCTACAGACACAAACACATGCACACGAGCACACACATGTGAATCTATGGGGTGAATTTGTATTTGCATTTATATTTATTTTTTTCAAAAAGCACACAATTTAAAGTCAGTCAATGCGGCATTTTATAAATTCCTCCTTTAGAAATAAAACCAGTCTGACTCCAAACCAAAACACAAACAGATTCTAAACAAGGCCTCACACCTAACTTGCATTGTCTGACCTAAAATGTCATCTCTTCTTTACACTGATAAAACCTTCGGTTATCCCAGGGCAGAGACTTGAAAGGAATTCGGGGATTTACATATACATATTAATCAATTAAAACCTTTGAACTAATTAAAGATTTAACAGCATCTTAGGTTTGTTTCATACATCCCTCATCAGTGGTGTGAACCTTTGATCTTTTACTTATAATCTGTGTCTAATCCTACCTCTCTCACTAACACCAGAAGAAAGACTGAGGCACCAAAAGCTTATGTTTTCAAATAAACCTGTTGGACTATAACCTGGTGTCGTGTGATTTCTGACCCTGGCCAAACCAGGCTTTAATTTAGTTTCTGGCAGTCATGTAATCTGTTCATTTTACTTTCTTCCATTCAAGTTACTTCCAGTTGTGTAGGTTTAAAATTGGCCTTATATTACACAATGTGATTTGGCAGCCTGTCTGTCATTTCCTCAGTTTCAGTCACAGTATGGTTTGGTCTTTTGGACCACACATTATTGTTAGTGACTATGACAGCATGAGTTAAGAGGTTCACCAGTGTCTATAAATCCATTCATTCCTGTTGTTGACTGAATGAGCTGTGAATGGGTCCAGCACTTCAAACTGCTTTTCTTTTCTGTTTTCTTTTTACCCTTGCTTTCTTTCATTTTCCTTTGAGTCTCTTCTCTTATCCTTTCACCTCGATTGCAGCAGCATCGATAACAGCAGCAATGAGATTGGGCCCTGTGTGGAAAAGTGGACCAAAATGGTGGCATAGGCTGGGGGCAGCGAGGCTGAGTGAATGTTGAAGCAGGAGACATCTGGCAGCAGTGGGAGCAATGCCAGGACGAGGCGTACGTGGCTCCGCCGTAGCCTGAGTTCTCCTGACTAATGACGAGAAGGTCCCAGGTTTAATCTCCTGGTCCAGACTCGCAGGCTAGGCCACGTATGCGGCTAGGCCTGAGCACCTGATGGTGGCGAGTTTGATCCCAGCGCAGGACCCTGCAGCTCCAGTGGCAGCTGCATCGGTGAGGTCGCCCAGTCATGGCAGCGGAAGCAGCGTTGGTGCTGGAGTGTGGCAACTGGTTGTTCCAATGGCGAAGTGCGGTCGTTAGCTTAAAAGCAGGGACTCGAGGCATCAGGGTGGAGGAGCCTGGACCCAGGCCCTTGGTTGAGCTAGAAGCTGTCCAAAGACCACCCTAACTTTATTGAGATTAGGCTGTAAAATGAACTTTATTGTTTGATTTTTCCAGCTCAAAATTCTATGATTTGGTTTATTTTCTGTGTTTCAGAGTGGCAACACAAAACAATACTTTTCACTATATTTGTAATAAATACACATGACAACAAATAAATCAAATAAATAAATCAAATCAAATCATAACAGAAGATTTGCCACATCCCATTACTATTATTCTTTCAGGTCTATTGATGAAGTAGATTAAATTATAAGATCAATGCTGATATTTCAATGTAATGCAATTAGAATTTGCTGTGCAGAGACTGTCACTATGATTAATTTCCTTGTGCAGATCTATCAGCATGATACACAGCACCATGTAAAACATTCTGGTTCTCCAGTGTGTTGTGTTTTAGTGGATAGGCCTAAGTATGATCAAGAGAGGTGATAACATTTTTCAGTTCTAGAATTGATGCTTGTTGTGCTTTGTGTAGGTTGCATCGGAATACTTCAAGGACACTACATTACTGCTGATTGGTGTCATTTGTCTGGCTGCTTCCATTGAGAAGTGGAATTTGCACAAGAGGATTGCCCTTCGTATGGTGATGTTGGCAGGTGCCAAACCGGGGATGTGAGTATTACTTCAGGTTCAGGTGTATTCTTAAGAAGGAATAGACCCAAGAACATAAAAGCAGGTCTACAGTGAAAATCTGGCTTCTATCAGAGCCTTACCCTCAAGGTTCAATGAAGGATAAAGTTACCAAATTAGTTATAACTCAAAAAGAATATGAAAAATATGGACAGAATTCAAGTATTCAGTATCATTACCTATTTAGCATCTCACATAATTTTACCATCAGGTTTGTTAATGGGATTTGACACTCTTGCCACCTTTCTGTATTATATTATTTAATAAAAGTTCTAATGATGAACTTTACATATTCAACTATTTTCCTCAAGTTTCTGCTAGACAACTAAATCTTCCTATATAGAATATCAACATCATGGATTGTCAAAGGTTGTATTTTATGCAACATCTATGTAAAGAATCTTGGACAATGAATTTTTTTCTGTTAGTGAAGCTACACTTCAGACAGACTGGGTCCATTTGTGCTGCCCTCGCACTAGCACTTCCAGGCAGAGACCCAACTATCTGGATTTATCAGAGCTGTTTTGCCCAAAGACTCCTCATTACCTCCTCCTGCAGAACACTTCACTTGCACTGCACCAGCAATCAAACAGGGGGTCAAGCATTGTGCCAATCTTGTCCTTAGCCACAGTAGCAATTTCCTGCTTTCTCATTTATTGTGCTAGACACAGGGTTTTGCCAAATATTTTTGCAATTCAAACAGCTTTTGAAAAGCTGGAAATGTGCATATTAGAAATAATATATTGCTTTATAAAGACAACCAGCTTTCCTGGACTGCTTCTATTCTGTTCTACATTCCTCCTTTGACAAATGCCCAATACCAGGCCTAATATAAGCCAAATTAAATGAAGGTGTGGCCAGCACACTGATGGTGCCATTTTATGGCTAACAAATGATTGGAAGAATGATCGGAAAGTGAATCTCTAAGGCTGACTTTCTCTTCAAGTGCAGACAATGGAAGACCTTTGGTTTAGTAGTAGCCAGGAAGACTTCTGACTCTTATAATGTTTGACAATCTTTGCTGTCATAGAGACTAGGGACGTACAGTACAGAATCAGACTCATCGGTCCAACCCGTCCACACCGATCAGATTTCCTAAATAAATTTAGTCCCATTTGACAGCATTTGGCCCATATCCCTCTTAACCCTTCCCATTCATATATCCATCCAGGTGACTTTTAAATGTTGTAATTGTACCAGCCTCCACCTCTCCTCTGGCAGCTCATTCCTCACCTTCTGCATGAAAAATTTCTCACTTAGGTCCCTTTTAAATCTTTCCCCACTCACCTTAAACCTATGCCATCTTTTGGGCACCTCTTCCCTGTGGAAAAGTCCTTGACTATTCACCCTCTCCATACCCCACATGATTTTATAAATCTCTATAAAGGTATCCCTCTAGCCTATTCAGCCTCTCCCTATAGCTCAAACTCTCCAGCTGTGGCAACATCCTTGTAAATCTTTGCTGCACCCTTTCAAGTTGTAGTCATCTAGCTAATTCCAGTCTAGAAATCATACCCCCTTTGCTGTCAATTAACTTTATTTTTCACTAAGTTTTATTTGGAGAAGTGTGTTCATCAAGCTTCTGTATATAAACAATTTTTGCCCTCTAATTAAAGCAGGTGCAACAAGAGATTGAAGGACATGAGTTGGGATGTGGGAGCTGTGATGTAGGAGATGGTGGGCTGGACAAATACCTGTGTTTTGGGACTGGGGAGTTCAGCAGTTGCAATGACGGTCTGGAAAAGGAATTCACACGCCCAGATGAGAAGTAGCACTTGGGCAGGATTAAAAATCTCTACTCCTGATTCTCCAATTTGTGGGCATCTGAAATCAACTGCTCACTGGGGTCACCAAATGTGGCATTATATCTCCAGCTGGCAAACCTATCAACAAATACTGCCAACTGGCAGCTACTTTAATGAAAAGAAAGGTAGAAAATGCTGGAAATACTCAGAAGGTAAGGAAGCATTTTGTGGACAGAGAAACAGAGTTAATATTTCATATCAGTGATCATTGGTCAGAATTAACACGTTCGTCGGTATTGCAGTAGTAGTTATGACAAAGCAGTTGCCCTTTTCTTCTCTGCAACTGAAATCAGCATCTGCTAAAAGTGTTAAATGTGAAAATCTAGAGGTTGTAATCTGTGATTCTAAACTTTACTATAGCGTGTACTGAGATAGATCCCACAGACTGCATGGAATATAAATTATGGCACTCGTAAAAATGTCTTATTTTTCAATATTAATCTCAGAGTAAAAGCCCTGGAAAAGTTACACCTTGTTGAGTGAGATGTGAATGGGTTTCTTAGACTGAAGTTCAATTAGTCTGGCTTAAGAAAACTAATATTATAATTGTGGAATGTCAAATTCTCTATTGTAATAACAAGAAATTTACATTCTTAAAACTTTTTAGAAGGTTTATTTTAAAATTGTGATACTCCATCTTCATTCAAAATAATTTATTTTGCTCTCTATAAAGTTTAATTAAAATTGAAAGATAATTAGTATGTTTTACCTCCTGGTTTGCTGTCTTTGAGAATACATCAATGTGATTATCCTGCTTGCTGACATCACTGTGGCTGGATACTTGAAAATTTCCTTGACTTGCTGTCAGTTTCAAACCGATGCTGAGAAAAGGGGAAATCTGCACCAAAGAGATAGCTAGATGAATGAGTGAATGCTATCACTTTGCTGCTGACTGGAAAATCAGAACCATTCACTCTGTTTGATTCTCCAGAGACAATGCCTGATCTGTGGAGTATTTCCAATGCTTTCTGATGCTTTTGCCATTTGTTAACCACTTATATTGGCACCAACATGAAATATACCATTGATTGAATTTTCATGTTTGCCATCAATTGTTCCTTAGCAATAATTATCTTGTGATATACTTTCTTAAATGTGCTTTATTGATCTCATTTACTCCTAATCCACATTAGCCCATAATTGGTAAGGCACCGAACAGCATCCAACATTAGTTAGATTTGCCTATGGCTGTTTAATCTGACAATATTTTGCATGGACGTTGCTAAAAGTGTGAGCTGATTATGTTGCTGGGAGGATAAAATTACCATTGGGGACATCAGTGAACAAAACAATCAATTGGGTATGTCCTTCAGTAAACAGAATGAAGATTGTGAAATTAAGGACTGAGAGGAAATTCAAAGCAGAGTGGGTGGATGTTAAATCAAGTACAGTGTAAAAAGAAGAAAAGATTTGATTATGGGAAGTAAAGAAGACAATTGAAAAGCAGACAATGTTTCTAATTTTACATTTTTAAACTGTTCAACAATTATCAAAAGCTGAGGAAATCAAACTTTGTACTTCTAATAGTTATATTTTGGTGCTAAAAGGATTCACTGGCAGTAGTTAATAATTAGCACTTTGTTAGACAGCTAGTCCAAGTTTAATTAAACATGTGCAAACCTTATATGGCTCCAAACTGGGCTTCTTGCATCATTTCAGTTCAGCTCTAACTTCCTGCAGTGACTTTAGTTTACATTAAAATGGAAATAGAGCAACCTCACACTGCTCAGTGCATTTTAATGATGAACCTCATGGCAAGATGCCCTTTTTGAGAAACTAACAGTGAAGCAGCACACCTTCAACAGTATGTCTGAATTTCCTTGTCTAAACCCACGCCTGCCCTCACCTGACATTGCATTGGTGTAGCACATAACTAATATTAAGCAGCATTCACTTTACCATTGTTTTGATTGTTTTTTTTTTGACAATTGCAATACACTTTCAAGTATCTGAAGACCTCCAGTGGCAATGAAAGGCACTGCAGCCACATAAAAAAATCCCAAATCAAAAAAAATCTACAGCTTGATCTAGAGGAAGAAAGGAAAGGGAAAGGATCAGGACCATAAACTGGGGAATAGGTCAGAGATTGAGAACAATATACATATTAGTAATATAATTAGATTCATGAAAATCATGATGTAGCTGATAAACATGACCGGCATCAGTAAGAAACAAAGACGTTAGAGCATGTGAAGAGAGAGATTTTGGACTTCACAATAGAGAACTGTATTTGTTAACTTAAAATGTACAGCTATATATAAAGAAGTTTTGCAGAACATTAGGAGTGGAAAAGCCTTACTTAGAGATCAGAGGCAAACAGCCCCAAGCAAAGTATACGTGCAGACACCTACAGCTCATAATGCAGACCTGGTATACTCCATACTACAGACCATAATCTAGACAGGTATCTCAACAGGTAGGTAGCAGTACTGGCTTAAAGCATAATATAAAGACATTTAGGGAAAGAAACCTCCAAAGCCAAGATGTGAAGTTAAAATACAGTCCAAGGCACATGGCTGAAAAAGGAAGACTCCAAAGTCGTAACAAGACTTCAGAAGACTTCAAGCAAAGAGTTGGAAAAAGAGAAGACTCCAAATACAGAGCAACAGATTAGGAAGACTTAATGATGGAAAAAAGAACCTTGAAGATGTCAAAGCTTAACTATGAACCAGCAATATTTTGGAGAATAAAGACACAGAACAAGAATGTTTTGACAGTAAGAAGAGAAAACACAAGTATTCACCCAGGTCAGTGAGGTGCAATAATTCATAGGGATGGCAGTTCCAGTAGAAACTTTGCAATTACCTCAATTATTTGATAATGTGGAAGATCCACAGTGATACCAATGTGGGGGCTCAGGGAGCAGCGGATATAGCATTATAGGACAGTTTCAGACTCATATGTGAAAGACTAATGTCATCAAGCGAGCATATTTTTACATGCTGTCAGGCCAATAGCTGAGAATGTTCTGGTAAGACAAACCATGGAAGATGGAATATGTTGCATTGATTAATGCACTCAATGCATTCTTTTGCCCCCAAAAACTGATAGGCTGAGCAACATTTAATTCATGATCCTGACATGTGAGAAAATCAGTAGAAGCCTTTTTAATTGATTTACAGAGTCACGGAGTCATACAGAACTGAAACAGTCCATGCCAAACATAATCTCAAATTA